ATCACTTAACAAAACACACAGAGATTTTTCCTCCCATTGTAAACTCGACTCCAACACCCATACCAGATTCTTCAGGGAAAATAAACACGTGATTGACTTTGTTGGGCTATCATTGGTCGAATCACTTTAAGCGTTTACCATTGTCTGTATACCTGCACTGTTTCTGATCATACTAAATCAATGAGAACTTAGATACATATATACAGGTGTACATACAGTATTTACCTAGAGTATAACCTGTGGTAGGTGGTCCAGCATAACCTACTTTAAGAGTTGAGTCTGATTGGAAAGAGAACATCTGAGTTAACCTGAGGAGAAGGAGAGATAAAGAGATATTTAGCCTAAGAGATAGAGGAAGAGGGAGGGCAGGCGCTGGTTGACGTGTGGGAAATTCGATGTCTTTAACAAGTTTAGTGTGTGTGTGGGGTGTGTGTGGGTGTGGTGTGTGTGTGTGTGTGTGTGTGTCAAAACAAAGACATTCATACATACCAGCACAAGAAGAAAAACCCACAAAATACATAGACAAAAAAATTATATAGTTTGGTCGTGAGTGAAAGATTTCAATGCCGAGGTAACAATGCATCCAAATACTTTCCCGTGTGTGTGTGTGTGTGTGTGTGTGTGTGTGTGTGTGTGTGTGTGTAGGATCCACCCTCCCTATTGTTGTCTCTGACCTACTTCTTCCATAACTCCTACAGAACCTATTTCTGAAACATTTCAATTCCTATCATGATCGTGGGATAATTATACCCGTTTTACGATACTCTCTCTCTCTCTCTCACACACACATCTCTAAGAAAAGCTGAATCTGTTCCTGTCGCCCAGAATGACAGCTAAATCGGCCACAGACACAATATTCGGTTCCCTCGTGCCTGCCTGGGCTACAGTGGCGGTCGGTATAGTGGGACCAGTGTTCTTATTGGAACATATTGTCAAGGTAACGCGAAATAACCGTTATATCCGTTACTCTTATAAACATCAATGTTAATTTATTTTTTATTATTTAAATATACGTTAACGAGTTTTTTACCTCATATTCGATTTAAATTTGTGTATTGTCTTGAACTTTAATAATTACGAAATATATAGTTATCAATGCATCCTCTGTCAAAATAAAGAACTGAAGGATTTATTTTCACTGACATTTTATCAAAGCCAAACTCATGAAGAAATAAATATCACATTTTGAAACTTAAACAAAGACATGAAATAATATCTACTCTCCACACACACACACACACACACACACACACACAATTACACCACGGTCACAAACTGATGACCAGCCGACGACCCACACACAGCCTAGTGACCCTTCCTTCTGCTTGGGTAACTGTCATGGGTGGTTGGGTACAAGTGTGGTGGTTGGGTATAAGTAGGATTGTTTAAATTCGTAAAAAAGTAGGAAAGTAACGTACGTGTGTGTGTGTGTGTGTGTGTGTGTGTGTGTGTGTACTGGCCGCTACCTCTTGTAAGCTTTCTCGGGAGTGAAGGATTTATGACTCCCTGGTGTGTAGTTAGGCAAGGCCCTCAACTACGCCCACACAGCCACCCCCCCACCATGCCCGCCCACACAGCCAACCCCCCTGCCCCCCTCTTTCAGTTCCATTTACCCGTCTGCTTATCTGCCTTTCTGCTTTCCATCTACCTGTCTGCTCTCCCGCTTCTCATGTACTTACCTGTCTACCTGCTTCCCGTTTACCTGCTTCCCATCTACCAGTTCGTCTGCTCCACGCCCATCCGCCCACTTCCCTCACCTGCCAGTCCGTTCGCCTTGCCGTCAGTCTGCCTGCCACGAGCCCACCCACCCAAACTGCCAGCCTGTCAGCCCACCCATCCGCCGCCCACAGCCTCAGAGGGAGATAATCTATTGAAGGTGTCTCCCGCTGGGCTTATCTCAGTCCTCCATCCTGATCTTGTGGGAGATAACTTGTCCTTTTCTCTATTTCTAATTCATTTTCTATATTCCACGCAAGAAAATTATCTCTCTCTTTCCATCTCTTTCTCTCTCTGTCTCGCTCTCTCTATCTCTCGCTCTCTCTATCTCTTTATCTCTTTTACCTCTCTATCTCTTTATCAATATCTCTTTATCTCTCTCTCCTTCGTGACATTTTTCTTTATTCTTATTAATAAATAATTAACAGTTTTCTACCTTAAGCCACAACACAACCAAACGTCTCATTTTCTTTCGGATCATTTATTTGTTTTCTTCAGGTTTTTCCAGTGTAAGGTTAGGTTAGGTTTAGGTTAGGTTAGGTTAGACAATGACTTTTGTTCCTGTTACTTTTTTTCCTGTGAGTTTTTTCCTACGTTTCCTGAGTGGCCATTGATAAGAGCGGTTAGTGGGGAGCCCCAGTACACGTTCATCTGTGTAGAGTAGAGTGTGTGTGTGTGTGTGTGTGTGTGTGTGTGTGTGTGTGCATGCGCGTGCGCGTGTGTGAGGAAGGAAGGAAGGAACTATATTTGATCAGGATGGAAGGAGGAGATGGTGACAACAGCTGGGGACCTGCAGGAGTCTCCGGCCTGAGGCTGTGGTGGGGAAGGTTACGGCAGTTGAGACGGTCACAATGTTTATATGTAGTGTGGCCAGGACTCAGTGTTCTGGTGTCTCATCCTCCTCGCCTCTTGTCAGCTTACTGGCCAATGGAATGATGGTACACTATCTACACTACACTACACTTGGTACACTATCAACACTACACTACAAATGGTACACTATCTACACTACACTACACATGGTACACTATCTACACTACACTACACACACATACTGAGCATTGGGGAACTCCCCTTGTGACGTTGCTCCAATGAACTTAGTGCCGTTAATGCTCACTCACTGTTTCCTGTCCTGTAACCACGCCCTAATCCATTTAAGGGTGTTACCTTTGATGCCATGTCCTTCTACCTTCTAATTAGTCTTTCGTGGGGACTCTGTCGAAGGCTTTGCTAAAGTCGAGATATACCACATCATAATTGGCCCCTCGTCCGCCGATTCGAAAACTGATGAAAAGAATGTTAATAGATTAGTTAGACAAGAACGTCCGCTTGTAGGGCCATGCTGGGAATCATTGATCAATCGGTGCCCAGGTGATTTCGAATAGAGTTTGAAATGATTGCTTCCATAAATTTGCCTATTATTGATGTTAGACTGATTGGTAGTTAGAGGATAGTGATCTATCCCCTTCTTGAAAATCGGTATTACATTCGCTATCCTCCAGGATTTTGGTACTACATCTGTCTTTAAGGACATGTTAAACAACTTTGCTCAGGGCATACTAAGCTCTTCCTTACATTCCTTTAATACTCTGGCAAATATCTCATCGACCAGGTGACTCATTAGGGCTTCAGTTTGTCTATTTGCTTATTAACATCGTTACTAGTCACTACTATCTCACTTAATTTGTTTTCTTCATTATCTCTAAATAGAGTCGGTGCCTCGGGTATCATGTTTAAATTTTCGTGGTGAAAACTGATGAAAAATATTTATTCAGATTATTGCTCATTTCTCCGTCGTTATCAGTAGCTCTTCCGCGTATCTCACCGTATTGGTCCAATCTTTTCTCGTGTTTTAGTTTGATACATTTGGCAGAATCCTTTGGGGTTTGTCTTCCCCTTTGCTATCCTTACCGCATTATTCCTCTTGGCTTTCCTTATCTCGGTTTTAACCCTACTCACCAATATCTTAAATAAAGTTCTTATAATATCCGAGCAGGATAGGATTCGGAGCAACGGATTTAAGTTGGATAAGTTTAGGTTTAGGAGGGAGATAGGAAGGAACTGGTTCACAAATAGGGTGGTGGACGAGTGGAACAAGCTTAGCAACTTTGTAGTAAGTGCTGGAACGCTGGAAAGTTTCAAAAGGAGGCTGGATAGATTCATGGATGATAGAGTGGTAGCAACTCTCGACAGGAGCTGCCATGCACATGCCAAACGGCCTATTGCAGACTCCTTATTTTCTTATGTTCTTATGTATTAGGTGCTGCTGCGACAGGTCTCCGGCAAGTTAAAATAAAAAAAAACATAACAGGAGTTTCAACGTCTAAGGCGCAGCATCACGTGCACGACATGCTGAGGACTAGTCATGGTAGCAGTAATGGGCGTCACCAGCAGTAGCGTCGTAAAGGTACGGTTTATAGTTACCCTGGATATTAAGATTCACCCCGTGTTCGTGGACCCTACCTGTACAAACCCTGTACCCAGTTGGGAAGGTCAAAAACCATTCAGTCGAACTACTGACCTTTAATCTTGGACGGGTAAGACCACGTGTTATGACAGAATTTTTAACATCTGCCTCAGTCTCCAGCTTTACAACAGTCTGGGTGAAGAAGGAGGGAGGGGGAGGAGGGGTACGGAGAGGGGACGAGAGGTTAGGTAGGGGAGGGACTATAATCAAACCCAGTGGCCAGGTAACACACACCTGTAGGTCACCTCCGACATACCCAGGAGACACCTGATCCCCCACACAGGAACCGCCACACCACCTGAGCTGACACCCTCTTCGTCTATCAGACACCCCCCGTCTACCAGACCCGCCACACCACCTGAGCTGACACCCATCGCCAACCACACCCGCCACACCACCTGAGCGATGAACCTCGCCTACCACAATCACCACACCAGTTAAGGACGAGGGTTGGGAAAAGTCGGCCTCATTGTCATTAAAAAAACAGACATACCTTTTATACACAAAGGACAATGTGAAGAAACTGCCAAGTACACGTACACTGTATATATGGTGATACAGATTAGGTTAGGTTAGGTTAGGTGATAACCGTGGTAACATTATGAGATGTACTTATTACTACCATGCTATTGTACCATTCCCAGATGATACTAAATGTTACATAATACTTCCTTGAGATAAATGTATAGTATATATCAGGTGCCTACAAGAGCTCAGGTTCTCAACTGTCTCAGCCATGTTAATATTGTTATTATTATCCACTCAGTATCTGTGTTTTTCTCAATAAAATGTTTCAATTACAATTACAATTACTCACCGTTTGCCTCCTGGTAACATCCTCGCCTCGATCGTTGCTTCCCTCGCGTTGCTGTAAAGAACAAATAATGACATTACTTGTGTGTCCTGGTCATATACTGAGGTCTATCAAATCACGAGGACCAGTTAAACCCACCTCAAACCTCAGATTCCCACGAGAGAGACACACACACACACCCACACACACACACACACACACACACACACACACACACACACACACACCATGACTCAAATTCTACAGTGGTTCCATAGTAGCAAAAGTCTTCACGTAAGGGGAGGGTGGGTGTAGAAGGAGGGTGTAGGTGTAGAGGGAGGGTGTAGGTGTAGAGGGAGGGTGTAGGTGAGAGGGAGGGTGAGGTGTAGAGGGAGGGTGTAGGTGTAGAGGGGAGGGGTGTAGGTGGGGAGGGTAGGTGTAGGGAGGGTGTAGGTGTAGAGGGAGGGTGTAGGTGAGGGGAGGGTGTGGTGTAGAGGGGAGGGTGTAGGTGTAGAGGGAGGGTGTAGGGTGTGAGGGGAGGGTGTAGGTGTAGAGGGAGGGTGTGGGGTGTGTAGGGGGAGGTGTAGGTGTAGAGGGAGGTGGTGTAGAGGGAGGTGTAGGTGTAGAGGGAGGTGTAGGTGTAGAGGGAGGGTGTGGGTAGAGGGAGGGTGTAGGTGTAGAGGGGAGGGTGTAGGTGTAGAGGGAGGGTGTAGGTGTGGGGTGTGGAGGGGAGGTGTAGGTGTAGAGGGAGGGTGTAGGTGTAGAGGGAGGTGTAGGGTAGAGGGGAGGGTGTAGGTGTAGAGGGAGGTGTAGGTAGAGGGAGGGTGGTGGGTGGGTAGAGGGGAGGGTGTAGGTGTAGAGGGAGGGTGTAGGTGAGAGGGAGGGTGTAGGTGTAGAGGGGTGGTAGGTGTAGAGGGAGGGGTGGTGGGTGTAGAGGGGAGGGTGTAGGTGTAGAGGGGAGGGTGTGGGTGTAGAGGGAGGGTGTAGGGTGTAGAGGGGAGGGTGTAGGTGTAGAGGGAGGGTGTAGGTGTGAGGGAGGGTGTAGGTGGAGGGAGGGTGAGGTGTAGAGGGGAGGGTGTAGGTGTAGAGGGAGGGTGGTGTAGAGGGAGGGTGTAGGTGTAGAGGGAGGGTGTAGGTGTAGAGGGAGGGTGTAGGTGTAGAGGGGAGGGTGTAGGTGTAGAGGGGAGGTGTAGGTGTAGAGGGGAGGGTGTGGGTGTAGAGGGAGGGTGTAGGTGTAGAGGGAGGGTGTAGGTGTAGAGGGGAGGGTGTGGTGTAGAGGGAGGTGTAGGTGTAGAGGGAGGGTGTAGGTGTAGAGGGGAGGTGTAGGTGTAGAGGAGGTGTAGGTGTAGAGGGAGGGTGTAGGTGTAGAGGGGAGGGTGGTGTAGAGGGAGGAGGTGTAGAGGGAGGGTGTAGGTGTGAGGGAGGGAGTGTAGGTGTAGAGGGGAGGGTGTAGGTGAGAGGGAGGGTGTAGGTGTAGAGGGGAGGTGTAGGTGTAGAGGGGAGGGTGTAGGTGTAGAGGGGAGGGTGTAGGTGAGAGGGAGGTGTGGGTGTAGAGGGAGGGTGTAGGTGTAGAGGGAGGGTGTAGGTGTAGAGGGGAGGGTGTAGGTGTAGAGGGAGGGGTGGTGGGTGTAGAGGGAGGGTGTAGGTGTAGAGGGGAGGGTGTAGTGGGAGGGGAGGTGAGGGTGAGGAGGAGGGTGTAGGTGAGAGGGAGGGTGGGTGTAGAGGGGAGGGTGTAGGTAGAGGGAGGTGTAGGTGAGGGAGGGTGAGGTGTAGAGTGGGGAGGTGTAGGTGTAGAGGGAGGGTGTAGGTGTAGAGGGGAGGGTGTAGTGTAGAGGGAGGGTGTGGGTGTAGAGGGGAGGGTGTAGGTGTAGAGGGGAGGGTGTGGGTGAGGGGAGGGTGTAGGTGAGAGGGGAGGGTAGGTGTAGAGGGAGGGTGTAGGTGTAGAGGGAGGGTGTAGGTGTAGAGGGAGGGTGTAGGTGTAGAGGGAGGGTGTGGGTGAGGGGAGGGTGTAGGTGTAGAGGGAGGGTGTAGGTGTAGAGGGAGGTGTAGGTGTAGAGGAGGGTGTAGGTGTAGAGAGGAGGGTGTAGGTGTAGAGGGGAGGGTGTAGGTAGAGGGGAGGGTGTAGGTGTAGCGTCATGTGTATACACACACCTCACAAGGGCCGCCCATCCTCTGTGTGTGTGTGTGTGTTACCGGGCGTGTGTCGGTATGTGGTGCAGGTGTGTGTGTGTGTGTGTGTGTGTGTGTGTGTGTGTGTGTGTGTGTGTGTGTGTGTGTGTGTGTCTTACCGGGCGTGTGTCGGTATGTGTGCGTGCAGGTGTGTGTGTGCTCTGATGGAACACAAGAGGCATTATCTTCAGTACAATGAGTGACTGACCAGGTGGGAAGGGGGGGGACGTCTACCAGTCCAGACAGACAGAGACAGACAGACACACCCAAGGTTCAGGTGATCTTCCTCCGACATATATCATAAACTCATTCAGGAAGGGGAGACGGTCAGGTGTCCCCAGGCAATAATAAAGGGGGATTCTAACCTAACCTGTGGCAGTGTGGTCCCTAGGGGTAAGAGGGCCAGAGAGGGTGGCAGAGAAAGGGGTGGCAGAGAAGGGAGGGAATGAGGGGTGGCGGTGGCAGAGAAAGGGTGGCAAGAAGGAGGGGGTGAGGGGTGGGGGTGGGCAGAGAGGTGTAACAGAGAAAGGGAGGGTGTGAAGGGTAGCAGACAAGGGTGGCAGAGAGGGGTGGGGATGAGGGTGGTAGAAAGGGGTAACAGATAAAGGGTGGCAGAGAAGGAGGGGTGAGGTGGCAAAGAGGGTGGCAGAGAAGGGGTAACAGAGAAGGGGTAACAGAGAGGGGGTAACAAAGAGGGGTGGCAGAGAGGGAGGGGTGAGGAGGCCGAGTACAAGGCCATGGGACAACAAACGAGGTGGTTAACTAAGACTAAATAGCTCTGGGCGGGTCACGGACAGGTCACTGGGTGGTGGGTCCTGAACTACCGTATCTCCTCCTGCCATCACATCTTGGACGCCGTTTGTCTTGATAAGAGGAGGAAGTAACCCGAGGGTGAACCTAACCTAACCCTAAGATTAACTTTCTACAGGGTACGCTAGTGTCACTCACCTAACCTAACCAAACCTAACCCTTTGGATGCCATCTTCGTATAACCAAAAGATCCCCCGTCGAGCACCCTATTTTACCTGAAGATTAACCACCTTAAAGCTAGCCTAATACCTAACCCCTAGGTAGCGTTAGGGTAGTTAATCTTCAGGTAGAATAAGCTGGCTGGGAGGGGGGGTAATCTCCAGATGATCCCTCTCCTGTAATATCCATATCATTAAATCAAATTCCTTTGTTTTGACTTTATCAAATAACGATGGTGTAAGTGGGAATAAAAACAATACTGCATTCCTTAAAACCCCAATAAAAAGATTAAATTCCTTTCCCAAACATTATTAAATACCAAATTTCCCCTAAGATACGACTAACATATGGTACACTTTGAGAAAATAGCACTAACTTTCGTATCATTATCACTTCGCAACTAACAATGCACGTACCGTAGTTTATGGGCCACGAACCGCATAATTAAATGCTGACAGCCACAGTCAACAAACTCAGCTGACAGCAAATGTAAACAAACTAGTAATCTCGTCCTTACATGGAGACAACACAGAGGCCAGCAGACAATACCTAACACATAAACAATCCACAAGGAGTGTCAGGCAGTACTGGAGAGGAACCGCAAGATAACCGCAAGATAACCGCAAGATAACCGCAAGATAACCGCATGTGATGATGATAACAGTAAGAAGATAAACCTCGATAACAGGAGGAAAAAACTCGCATGATGATCTTTCAATACAAAAAAAAGAGCATCAAAGGTAAACAACAGATAGTGAGAAGACTCGGGCTAGTTACTCACACACGGACACAACAAGAGTCAGGAAGCTCCCACGTCAGCAGCCCTCGAGTAAGCAATGTCAGCTAGCATACAAACGTGACAGTGACGCATTAATCACGTCATACTTACTCAGCCAATTACGATCAACCAATTAACTCATTATAACTCAATAAAACAAATATATAAAATACCAAGAAAAAAAATGAATAAGAATTGGTTAATAGCTACGTTACACCACAGACAACCTCCTCACCAGGAATAGACACTTTCAGTAAATCAGGACAGGCGGAGACATTGATAACACATAAAGATAAAAATGTTTCAGATGGAGAGAGAGAGAGAGAGAGAGGATGTGTGTGTGTTGGATGTATACACGCAGGTGGAGAGAGATGGAATGTGTGGAGGTGTGGGTGGAGTACGTACACACACAGAGCGAGTCCACCTGTGTACACTTTCACCACACAGGTATAGCTCCAGGATACTACACTTTCTGTTGTGGTTTGGTTAGGTTAGGAGGAGGAGGAGGGAAGAGGAGGAGGATGAAGAACGTGGACATAAGGAATAAACACAATAAGATTACAGGACAAAGGTACAGAGAAATTACCAAGGAGGAGGAGAAGAAAGGAGGAGGAGGAGAACAGTGAGGCAAAGTGAGCTGGAATGCGATTGACCTAACATGACCCTCACGCCACACAGAGAGAGAGAGAGAGAGAGAGAGAGAGAGAGAAGGTCAGTCGTGCCGCCACTTCCTCAGGTATACAAAGTGATGGTGGTACTGCTCTAATGGACCGTGTAATTACGCCACTTTCCTTCATTATCTTCAATTGCAACTTTCCTTTATATATTTCTATCGATACTTGCCTCTGTTACTAATTCTTCTTCAATACTTCCCTTGCTACTTCCCTTCCACGCCACTTTCCTTCCCTTCCACGCCACTTTCCTTCCCTCCATCGCCACTTTCCTCCCTCACCTGGCCAAGACATCAGCTGTTTCCTCTTCCCGCCATTTTCCTTTCCTTAATTACAGGTGGAATTTGAGGAGTTTTATTTTCGGTTTTTTTCCCTGAAGTCTATGTTTATCCTCTTCTGCTTACGTCTCTCTCTCTCTCTCTCTTTTTTCTCAATAATACTTTAACATTTTCAAAGGCATCAAGTGTTTAAGATAATAATAATGATAA